GAGATGGATCAGCCATGTGGCATCATTGATGGACTCAAGTGTGGCAGCGGTAGTGAGGTTGGCCCAGGATTGGACACTGTTTTGTTCTGCTGTGCTTGGGGTCGCTATGAGTCGGTTCCGACTCACTGGCACCTGACAACAACAACAATCATGCACCAGACTGTAAAGTCATTAGACCTGCAAGGTCAGTGGTTCAAGCTCACCAGCTGCTCTTCGGAAACCCTATACAGGGTCACTATAGGTCAGAATCAACTCAACAGCACTTAACAACAACAACAACAAATAAACATCAGCATCCACATTCTTATATGGAAAGTGAAAAACTGCCAGAAAACCTACATAGTGCTGAATATTTTAGTTCACATAAGACTCTCCATGGCTATTGTTGTTAAGTGCCATCAAGTCGGTTCTGACTCATAGCGACCCTGTGTAGGGTTTCCAAGGAGCGGCTGGTCAACTTGAACTGCCGCCCTTGTGGTTCACACCAACTTTGCAGTCCAGCACATTAGCCCACAGCGCTACACCAGGACTCCTCCATGACTATACTAAAGGTAAAACTTGAAAATACGTGACAAAAGTAAATCAGAAATTTACTCTGAATAACGATTCCATTTGATAAAGAACAAAAATTATAGAGAATCTTTGCTTTTCTGAGAAATCAGAACATGACACTTACATTTGGAAGCTGACACAATTCCTGGAACATAGACATGGGCCCCTCGTAACACTGCGTTACCACACTGGGCTCCAACAATGGCTTCACACTGTCGTTTTGTTATATTCTTCCTACGGATGTTAGAGAAGAGAAATGTAATGGCTATAGCTCCAAAGTTTACTAAGCTTTGTAATGTTTTAATCTAAATCCTAAAAAAAAATAATACTTTAATCTCAATTATCCTAGGATTACTGCCACTAATAAGTGAATAAAGTATGCCTAATGAAGAACAATAAAAATAGAGGAAATAGTAAAAAAAAAAAGCTAAGCACTTGAGAGAAAAGGAAATTATAAAGTGGTCCATCTGGTAGAAGACAATAAAGAGGCACCAAAATTTACTTAGTTAATACATCTTATCATTTAACAAACATTACTATAATCTATTCATCATAGCATTAGAAAAGAAGAGAAATAAAGTCTCTGTATTCAAATACTAAAACAGACAGATATGAAGGGGCTTCAAAAAGTTTATAAAAAATTCTGTTATCTTTTAATACCATTTTCCAAGAATGTTTTGAAGCCCCTGTGTATTTAAGAAATTAAAAAACATAGAAGAATTTTCTAAAGTGACAGATCACCACAGGGTAATTATGACTATCTTAAACTACACAGACAAGTGAATGTACAAGTATATTTTTTCTTGCTGTCTAGATTTTTTAGTGTTTTGCTTCCTAAAATTTATTACCTCGCATTCATTCTTTAGACAATTAAAATCTGTCATCATTTCTTATATTCAAAACCAGCTTTTCAAAGTTCTAAAATATCAAATCTTAACAGACAGGGAGAAATAATCTATATGCCCATGAGAGGATGAATGGATAAATAAAATGTGGTACACACATATGATGGAACACTACTTTGCCAGAGATGAAGTCCTGATACATGCTACAACATGAATGGAGCTTAAAGAGATTATTGTAGTTTGTATTACATACTGTCGAGTTGGTTCTGAGGCAAAGTGATCCTATATAGGGTTTCTAAGGAGCAGCTAGTGGATTTGAACTACCAACCTTGAAGCTAGAAGTCCAGTGTTTATCTTACAGTAACACACCAGAACATTATGCTGAATTAAATAAGTCAATCAAAATAGGACAAATTATGATTTCATTTATGTCAAAAGACTTGAAAAAGGCAAATGTAGAATCCAAAGTTTATTAGGAATTACCAGTGGCTAGAGGAAGAGAGTATGTCTTAATGCTTATGAAGCATTTAGTTTTTGTTTATGGTGAAGAAAAAGTCACAATGGTTAATGGATACTGGTTGCAAAGCCAAATGTAACTGATAACACTCTGCAGTACACCTGTAAAGAGCTGAGCTGGCAAATGTTATCTAAATATATATACATAAAACAACAAAGAACAAGTAGCCACTGAGGCTGCTTGCAGGCAACCAGATTCTTCACGGGATATGCTTTCTCTGTTTGCAGATTCAAATTCATGGTAACATGTGACATCCTAGTTAACTGACTTCATAACATTTTCAGGGCTACTAAGAGTCAGAATCAACTAGGTGACAATGGGTTTCGGATTCTACCTTCTAGTTCAAGAGGTAGTGCCTGGGGACTTAAAAGCTTGCAACTGACCATACAAGTCACAACTGGTCTCTGTTCACCTGGAGCAACAAAGGAAGAAAGAGAATCAGGAAAAGGAGGTAAAAATGATCGTGTGGCAACTGTTTCCATGAACAAACTGCCTCTTTTGCTATGAGACCAGAACTAGATGGTGTCTGGCTACTATTATTGAACACTTTAATCAAAGAGTATATAGAAGAATCCTAATCAAAAGGAAGGTAATGAATACTAATATTTCAAATTCTCAGGGAATCTAGACTTTCTGGAGCTATGGAGAGTGGATGAATCACTGAAACTAATGCCCTGAGATAATCCTGAAATCAAAAATGTCACCTGAAGTCTTTGTAAAACTAAACAATGTTGTTAAATGTCATTGACCTAGTTCTGACTCATAAAGACCCTATTTAAGGTTCCCAAGGAGCAGATGGTAGGTTTGAATCACCAGCCTTGTGGTTAGCAGTCCAATACTTATCCTCTAACATAAAGAATTATTGACATGGGATCAAACTGACAACTCAAAATATTAGACAGGAAGCTAGGAAGGCAGTGCGTTCATGTCAATGGGGTGTAATAATTTGAAAATGATAATGAGAATTGTCGCCCAACTTGAAGGTAATTAGTGAATTATATATCATCTAGAACATGCAGAATTGTTTTGCTGTGTTTATTTTGCTGTGTATGTTTTGCTGTATATATTTCCAACAACCAAAAAAGACCTCACTTCTCAGCTTTATATTATTCTTCTAGCTAATATCACACATGCTCATTGCTCATTTTTTTTTCTTCTGACTTCTTAAAGGGTCACTGGGGTCAGAGGTAGAATTCTCCTTTCCAGGCAGGAAACTGCAGTTCAATTCCTGGCCAATGCACTTCATAAACATCCAGCATAACAACTAACAACAACTCCATATAGAGGTTCATTTGCTCCAAATTCCTTCTAAGGAGCAATCTGGCTGTACTTCTTCCAGGACAGATTTGCTTAATCTTCTAACAGTCCATGGTACCTTCAATATTCTTTGACAACACCATAATTCAAGTGTATCGATTCTTCTTTGGTCTTCTTTTTCACTGTCTAATTTTCCCATGACTATGAAATAAGTAAAAATACCATGGCTTGGGTTAAGTGTACCTTAGCCCTCAAAGTGGCATCTTTGATTTTTACTCCTTAAAGAGAACTTTTGCATCAGTCCACTGTAATATGTCATTTGATGTCATTTGATGTCCTGACTGTTGCTTCCATGGGCACTGACTATGGATCCAAGTAAAAGGAAATCCTTGACATCTACAATCTCTTCTCTGTTTACCATGATGTTGCTTATTGATCCAGTTGTGAGGATCTGGTGTTATTTGGTGTAATTTATTGATGAAGTCTTTGATCCCCATCAGTAATACCTTCCATTTATTTTTTTTAACTTTTTATTGTGAATTGAATGAAGGTTTACATTCAACAAATCATAGACTTTGTTTCTTCTCAATGACAGCAATCCCCTCCGTGGAATGTCATTCACTTCCTCTCTGTAGCTCCTATTTCCCTTCATCCACTTTCCCATCGCTTCTCGCAACTGTCTTTGGGTACATGTTGCCCCTTTGATTTTGAATGACTGACCACACCATCATTTATAATGAGCATATCTTCCTCCTATATACTTATCTACTGCATGGTTGAAAAGGGGTGTGTCCTCCTTCCTAGATATGAAGGGTAGTCAAGGGTGCTCCAGGCAAGTTGTATCCCCATTTTAGGTATTCCAATCAGTTATAGGCAGAAGATGGACTTACAAGCTTTCTATGGTGATATTTCTGGCTATTCCTTTC